AATTTTTTTTCACGTTTATTTATTATTTTTGGGAAGAGAGTAGCAGAGCGGCAGACGGGGAGGGGCAAGAGAGAGGGAGGCACAGAGTCGGAAACAGGCTCAGTTCCTGAGCAGCTCAGCCCAGAGCCTGCCAGGGCCTGAGAACTCACGGGGCCCTTGAAGATGGCCGAGAGTCGGACGCTTAACCTGATCATGCCACCAAGCGCCTCCCTCTCTCTCTCACGTTTTGTAAAAAGCCACCTGTTCCTGAGAGGTTTCTGCTGCAGCTTCTGTGACGTTATAGTGGTAACTAGAATGAATTAACAGGTGGCCACGCAGGGGACTCAGTTCCTACATTGGGCCCCAGAAGCCGTTCAACCCCATGATGCCCAATCCCACTTCTCTGAATCCAGCAGATTAACTCCTCTGAACTGGAATGAGGGCAAGTGAGGCCAAACCACATAACTGTCCCCACCCCTTCCCCCCCCCCTCCCCCACTCGCCTCCAATCAATAGAATGGTGGTATTCCTGGGCTTCCAGCCTGGTGGGATCCAGGCATACTCCCTCCAAAGGCTGATGCTCTGTAGTCATCGTCCTGAGGTCGCAAGTTCCTCAGGAAGCAAGCTAGTCATGGCTGGTGACAGTCTCTCCATCTCTAGTGCTCTACTGTTGTCACCATGTTCGCTTCCTGGAGGCTAATTCTGTCAAGCAGATCTTCACTTATAGATAAAGGCGCGGTAGGTGAGGGAGAAGGCAAAAGAAAACCATTTCAACTGGCTGCTAGTCACCACCGTCTTGGATCCCAAACATAAACACATTCTGGAACTGGTTCTTGGCAAGAGCTCTCTAAAGCAGCAGCACAGGCCAGCCTTTGTCTTTGGAAAAAGGAGTACGGACATGTGGAAACGCGCATGGAAGGTCAGGAGGCTCCATGGTAAGTCAGGATGACAATGTGACAAACTTGACTTCCAACCTTCTTGCTAATCAATATCCTAAAAGTCATGCCACACAGTATCTTTTTATAGAAGAGACTGGATCATGTGGACGTCGTAAATTTGTCGCCTGTAGTAGTAATTAAAGTGATTGTACATAATACTATGCTGACCAGAAATATTACCTGTGGATGTAACATAAATTGTAACACTATTTTTTATAAAGCTTCTGAGAGTTGGAACGGAAGGGTTATAGAAAGAACCAGGTGAGATTTTTTTTGAAGAGAAAAGCAGCTAAACCCTTTTCCCACGAAATAGATTGCCACAAGATCTCATGGGGAAGATATTGTCAATTGTAAATATAAATATCCCCATGTATGGTTGAAACTCTATCAATACAAAATCTCTATAGTTTTTTTTTAATATCAGTATCAAGAGTGATCATGAATGTGATGTATGTGAAAAAGGTGGCAGCCAGTTGAGAAAAACTGGCCCCAAGTTGAAGATTTCTTCTTTTAACGTACCCTCTATTCTTTCCGTATACAAAATGATGAAGCAGAAAAAAGGTTGTCTCGAGTCATTAAAAAAAGATTTGCTAGCTTCCAATGATAAAAAAGAGGGGGGAAAGAAAAATGGGAATAAATCTTAAGAAAATAAGCCGCTATGTGGTACCAGATCTTTGTGATTAGTTTCGGTAACATCATATCCAGGCAATGAGAGAGCCAGAACTCTAATCCCCATACGCACTAATTTTTTTGACAATAGTTTCTCGATCTATCACCCCACCATGAAGTTCACCATTTAGGTGTGACAAATCACTGGCTTCTTTATGAGTATTGCTATTTGTGAAACCATCACCCGGAGATTTCAATGCTCGATCACAGCTTTTCACCTATCCCTGAAAGAAACCCAGAAAGGCCATGAGAAGTGACTCTTCCACATTCCCCTTCCCTCCTGTCCCTAGGATCAACCACTGATCTATTTTTCTATCTCCCAGGGCTTTGCCTAATTCTGGATCCTGCCACAAATGAGCCATGCCAATTAGTCTTTGAAACTGGCTCTTCTTTCACTACGAGCAGTAGAGATGTTCAAGGCGTGAATCCATGTGTGTGAGCTGTTATGGGCCCTAATCTTTCCTTCCCCTTTATTGTATTATGAATATTCCATAGTGGGTGGATATCGTATACACCTGTTTTCATTCTTATTCCATCAGTTGGAATTCTTTGGTGTTTCCACTTTTTACTTTCTGCGAATAATCTTATGCTCTATGTTTATATACAAGATATTTTGTGTTTTGAAAATATGTTTTTCGATTCCTCTTGCGGTATATATCCAGCAGAATTACTAGGTGATATGGTAACTTTACATGTAAATTTTGAGGAACTGTCAATCATAAACTATCAGTGCCATCGGCCATTCCCTACTCCAAAACGAAATGAGGTTCTTTATTTTCTCAAGCACTATCTTGCAGCACTACCGACTATATTTTCTGTTGGAAGTGCCATCCCAGTGGTGTGGAGGCATCTGTATTGTGGTTTTCGGTATTTTTCTATAGAAGCACAGATATTGAGCATCATACTGAGGCTGTATTGGTAAATCTACTTTTGGAGAACGCTTCACTTTTTGTTAGCCCATTGAAAACTGTTATTTCGTTGTCCGAATTATAACTCATTCTTTAGATATATTTCGAACTACAAGTCCTTTATCGAAATAGGATTTGGAAAACCTCATTCTCACACTCTGTGGAGTGGTCCTCCTTCTTGCGGATGATGCCTCTGATGCATACACATTTCTTATGAGGAACTCACAATTTTTTCTTTTCTGCTGTTGCTTGTGCTTTTGACATCATGCCTAAGAAACTACCATCCAAATAAAGTCATAAGGATTTACTCCTATACTTTTCATCGAGAGCAGTTTCATGGCTCTTTGGTCCTCTTGCATTTGGGTCTGGGCATTACATGAGTTAATTTTCAGCATGAGCTTGATGGTAGGAACTACTTCATAGGTTGTGTGGCTATTCACTGTCCCATGCACCATTTGTTAAAAAAAAGTCCATTCTTTTCTCCATTGATTGTCCAAAAGCAACTGATCATAACATAAAGGGTTTATTTCTGGATTTCAATCATTCCACTGACCTATGTACTTTATGCCGTCGCATTACTCTGTTCCGAATTGTAGTTCTGCGAGTAGGTTTGAAATTGTGAATATAATCGCCTAACTTTGTCCTTCTTTCACAAAAACTTGGCTCTCCTGGTCCCTGATGGTGCACTATGAAAGGGCCAGTGATTTTGGGATTATCGCTCCCATTGTCAAAACAAATCCAGCTGGGATTCTGCAGGAATGTCAATGAGTCTAAGATCAACTTATAGAATACTGCTATCTTGAAAATAAGTGAGATCCAACCCACACTAAAAACATGTCTCTTTCTATTATGTCCAGCTATTTTAATTTTTTTAATGCTATTTTTCTGGTTTTTAGTTGACAAGTCCTGCACATTTTTGTAAAATATCCTTAAGTATTTTATTCCATAGATTGAATTGCTATTGTAAATGGAGCATTTGAGTTCTTACATTGGTGAGATTTCTAGTAGATAGAAACACAATGGTACTCTGTAATCTCATGGTACCATAAATCTTGTTAGAATCTCATTTTTCAAACATTTTTTTTTTATCGTTTATTTACTTTTTAGAGAGGCAGAGAGAGAAGGAGCTGAGCAGGTGGAGGGCAGAGAGAGGAGACACAGGAATCTGGGGAATACAGGCTCTGGGCTCTGAGGCTGTCACTACAGAGCCTGATCGTGGCTGCACCATCAAGCACAGACCCAAGATACGATGCACTCCCGAGAAGCTCTATGCAGTGGAACTACTGGCAGCCAGCACCTCTCATTTTTTGTAGTTTGAAGAGCATGGTGTATGTGATTATGTGTATTTTCTTAGGATTTCTACATATGAGATCATGTCATCTGCAGAGAGATAATGTTTTATTTTTTATTTTCCAATCTGATACCTTTTATATCTTTGTCTTGCCTTTAGGCTGGCTGATAGAACTCAAGTACAATGGTCCTAGAAGTGGCAAGATACATCTTTGTCTTGATCTAAAGAAAAAGCATCCTCTCCCATCAAGTAGTATTGAGCTGTAGGTTTTTGGTAGGATGCTGCCTCAAGGTGAAGAAGACTCGGCTGGCTCTAAGGTAAAAAAAAAAAAAAAACATGAGAGAAGGAAACTTGATTTTTGAAGGGTGGAAGGGATTTCTACATCGGCCATGAATCTCTAAGATTCTTTGTTAAAGGAGAGGGAGGAAATAGGGATTTGCCTTATTCTTCCCAGTGATATATGCTGTGTTTAAATACTAAGTTTGGCCTTGCTCTGCAAAGAAAGACATTGGCATTTCCTGAAATATTTGGCACTTCCTACAGGCTGTAAATATTATTGGCTTGATTAGATGAACTCTGTTTCTCTCTGTTTCACTGTGTTTTTCTCAGGGATGTACAGCCTCTGCTTTGTATTTCTATAGTTGGCGTTTTCTCTTCCACAGACTCATGTTGGCTTAGAAGTCCCCTCTTTTTAGCTGGATACTTTGATGAGCTCTGAGCGGTGCACCCCTCTTTTTCCCTCTGACACAGAAAATTCTTCCTCTAGTGATCTTCTCTATGCCTAACAGAATGTTTTCAAGCTTAAAATACCCCTAAAATGTGAAGTCAGGAAATCTCTGCGTGATAACGCTTCTGGAAAAAGTTCTTTATGATTAAGAAAGACCCAAGAATTCCCAGGTGACTCCCGAGTTAGACACGGATAACATCTCTTTGATGAGCCATTTCTCATTGTCTTCTAATGTATGAGGTCACAAATTGGCACCCGAAGTCAAGCACACTGGCAGGATTGGCTCAGCTAGCAAAGTTTTCTTTAAAATTTTGCATTAGTGACTAATCCTTAAAAATGAGGAGTTTTAATGTAAAAGTTCATAGTTGTATCTTAAAGAATTGAGGATCTGGCATCTCATCCCTGCAAGGA